AATAACATATACATACAAGCTTGTTTCTTTATCTGCTTACTGGACTGCGGTTAGACTTCTTAACTAAATAGACTCCTCTTCTTAGGCCTCAAATGGCATTAGTGATTTAGGCCTTAAAGATATAATACAGCAGTGATAAAGGACTTTAAAATGAAGACAAAAGGCGCTTTTTTCTTTAAAAATATACATCAAAATAAAAAAAAAAATCAAAATCAAAGTATTTATTCAGTTTAGACCACAAGTGGCACTTATGAACGTCAATAGAAAATAATAAAAAAAGAAAAACTGGTTCAATGGTTCCGTCGTAAAAACGACATAACAACAAGTAAATTCGCAACCAATTCGGAATTATGTGACTGCTACCCTCGCAAATCTGGTGAAGGTGCCTGGATGCGGGTGGCGTAGGACCGGTCGTCGTGGAAATCCTTGGGCTTTGCCCAGCAGTGGACGTCATTTGGCTGAAACGAACGAATGAACAAGCCCTCGCAGACGAAGTTAATAGTAACTAATAGTCGTAACAGTTTTAATTTCGAATTGAACCATGTACAGGATAAACTGGATCGAAGCGATTACGGACTTAAAACTGTCACGTATTGCTATCTCTAAGGGCAGACTACTTAGTAGATTATCTATTAGCTTGAATAGGTACCTACTATTATTCATTAATAAGACTACTTAGTATATTATCTATTAGCTTGAATACCGGCTAATAATATAATCATTATTAATAAACATCACTTAGTTTACCTAAATGATCTTTCAATCTTTGAACGCGTCTCTCGTGACGTCTATGTTCTAACGTGTCTACGTCATAAATATTTGTCAAGTCGACTTCGGATTGGGCGGGAAAAATTTTGCTGGCCATCTTTCTGTAATCCTAATGGCCTGTGCCTATTTTTTGTTTCTTCTCGGAAGATTGAATATGAGCAATGTTACTCCTACACGACGTGGAGTAAAGCAGGATCAGGATATTTATGTATTTACATTGAAAAAGCACTTCAGTACATAAAAAAACATTTCCATACTAGACGTCACTTTAAGGTCATGGCACACTTATCAATCTGGAAAGGGATCAAACACCGTCACAATCTTTTAGCTCTTGCAACCGAGAGGCGATTGGGTTTAAAAAAACAAAATGTGATAAGAAAATGAAATAGTACAATATAAAAAGACGAAGAGATTTACCCCCGTATTCACAAACATTACTATGTGGTCTCACAAGTCCCGTGGACGCACAGGGTGACACACGAACCAATCATGGAGTTCTATTCATCGCTGTGCGTTCGATTTGATGCTGCATTTAAGCAAGCATCGTTTGTGAATACGGGCGTTACTCTTGAACTATTGTCCTTTGAGGTTTACCGCACATAACTTTACTTGAACTCTCCAATGGCACCTTCACCAAAACAAATAACTATCGAGACTCACAGTTTAAACAAACACCCACAACACCAAACTCAATTTCTTACTGCTCTTAACTACACTCACAGACGTGTCTAACACAACACCAATGGTTCTCAACCTTCTTTGGTCAAACTATGTTTTCTTCCTGTATTTTACAAACGCGAATATCCTTTAATATTGGCCTTTTTAATCTAATCAAGCGAATTAAAATACTCTAGTTGAATAAATTGGTATGAATCAGATAATACCAGGTATGATCATTGAACTAAGTATGTAGTAGCAATCCTACAGTACAACAGCACTTCAAACTATAAATTTTTAATTATGATTGTAAATTTTTCATTTATAATTGTAATTTTTTCAGCAGTGGTACAACTTTACTTCAGTAAAGTGTAAGCTTGGTAATTGCTGCAGATTTTTTTATGTACCTACATACTTATAGATCGTTTCTTCCACGAAGACGCGCCCCACCAATTTTAGGTCGAGGGAAACGCGGGGTGCGGGGAGTTTGATCCGAGCAATCCGAGCGTCATTATTGTAGTGTGCGTGTTGTGCAATCATGGATAAGTCAGCGTGTACCGATAACACTCAAACATTAGCAGAAGAATGGCGGGGCGCGTCTTCGTGGATGAAACGATCTATAGTCGTACGTGCTGTTCGCATTTTTAATGTGAAGTTTGAGAACCACCGCGTTGAACAAACACGGGCAATTAGTGGACACTCTTCAGCTACACAAGGGACTGCTCCAGATTTATCCTACAATCAAGTAACTAGTAAATACTACACGAAGTAGTTAAAGTTTTCTCCGAACACTGTAGGAGTTTAAATGGAGGAATTAACACGTTTAAGTCCTTAGAAAAAAGTTTGAGTAATCAAGTAATTGATAGCTTAGTTCTCACCTTTTGTTTCCATTATGTCAATACAACTGATTAAACTAATCAATCCTATGCAAGTGGGCTTTTAAAAAACTTTTGACACGCCCCAGTATTATTTAATCCTACCACTGCTTCGGGACAATAAATGGGCCAGTGCTGATAAAATTTACTAGAGCTAGGATCTTCCGGTTGAATGCTTATAAAACCTAACCAATGAAGGAAGGTATAGTTCTGGGAATTACATCAGACAGTATAGAATCGGAAGAAAAAGGCGAGTTTAGAGGAAAGGATCGATTTTCCTCCAGGGCAAAGCGGATGACAGATGACAAAACAAAAACAAATGCATTTGACTGTACGACAGACAGTAATCTCACACAAAATTGCTAAAAAGCACGCAAGATACAACGTTAGAGATCAAAGCCTTATTTTGAACAGCGTAACGGCATTTCTGAGAAGTTTCTCAAAATGTCTTTGCCCATTTTCTTCTTAATACTCGAAAACAAATGTACTTAGGAAAAAAGGTTCCGTTCAAAATCTTGGAGCGAAGTGAGGCGGGCATAAATTGAATAACCAATGGAGCGCAAGCCGGGTGCAGTCGCTAGTGTAATCTTATTATTTGGACTTGGGAGAAATGGTGGAGTGGTTTTAATGGAATATTTTGTGTGTGACTTTGGTACGACGTAAAAGATTTTTAAGTAGCCCCATCTACACTGATATTATTTATATGAAAGTGACTCTGTCTGTCTCTGTGATGTAGATGAAAGGTGTAGAGACAGTTTGAAACCCAGGGAAATCTTTTTCTTCTTCGTCGCTACACTTTGCCAGAGTGGTCGTGGTCATCACACCAGGTCCGGTGGCAAGCCCCACAATCCGTCGCCATTCCTCCCGCACTGCAGCCTTTCTTGTGCACTCGTGGAGTGGACCATTGAGTGCGGTTCTGATCTGGTCAGTCCAGCGCATGGGCGACCTGCCGCGCGCTCTTGTGCCCTCAACCTTTCCCTGCACCACAAGTCGTTCAACAGAAGCGACGTCTCCATGTGTTATATGGCCAAAGAAAGGGAAATACGCAAAGGAATTTTTATCCCAGTATTTTAATGGGGTACACGAGCGCGTACCCTTTAACACAATATCATTTCATTTCGGGCACATTTCTTTAGCATTAGCAAGATTCCTCCCAAAAATGCGGTTTTGTAGATTTGTAAAAATTTGCGTACCAATCCACAGGAAAGACTAGTGTAACATAAACCCCGTTTCAAATGACGTATCGAATTTGTGAAGAGCAAGACAAACCGTGCCTCAAAGGCGACGCGATCAGGCGTATGCGCCGTTCCGTCTGCAGCCATCGAAATTGAATTCCGAGGCGGATACATTCTTTGTGCAAGGTAGATGTGGGATGTGGCGATGTCGATGTTTAATTGTCGATAAAATGACCAAATGAAGATGATACTATTATCTAAGCCTAGGCGCAGACCACCGATTTATCGGCCGATTCTTCATACAAATTAGAATCGGGCCCGAACTATTGGCCAACTAAAAGTCGGTGGTCTGCGCCTAGGCTTAATGAAGCTAGAACGTCATCGAATTAAGAAACAATCATACACCTTTAGTGGTTCTCTTATTCATGAGTATTTTGATAGTCTATTAAGCTCTTGGTATTGTTGTCTTTTTTATTTTAATTATTAAGTACCCAAAAATCTCTTAACTAAAAATAATATGCACTACTTTTTCATTGTTAACATTAAATACATAAAAACAAGGGGCTATGCAATTTTTTTCTAGTTAATACGTGCATCGATACAAATCACCTCTAAAGTAACGGGACATTACAGAACGTAAGGTTTAAATTCCAAAGCAATATTCTTAGCGTAGTGACGGTGTACGGTGTCCGAAAAACATCGATACTCCAACATCACTAGTGTAGTCACCGCTAAAGTGTACAACTTTGTTACACGTATAGACTGGGGGCTGTAGGTATACTAAACAGGTGTGACATTTTGTATACGTTTAGCGACCATGTTAATATCTTATACAGTCAGCATAAACCGCGAATACATTGTTTCTATCTAACTTAGTGTTGTGTGTAAAAAAATACATTTTAATTTTCTTCCTCATTTAAGAGATTCACAAACATTACTTTGAGGCCTCATAGTGCGCGTGGATGCACAGGGTCCCAAAAACCTATTCATAGACGATACTTCAGTGGTGACAAGCACTATGCGTCCCTTAGAATGAACGCAAAGCTAAGGTAGCCAGGGAGCTGTATTACGCAACGCATAGTGTCTATTTACGTCAAAATTTTTAGGTTATTCTCGTTTTTGAGGTTTGTTTGCTTTATTTATGGTTGTATTTTATTGATATTATCTTACAATGGATTACAGTAGTGAAGAAGAATTTGATAATTATATCAATGAGCAAAGTAGAATAAGTACCAGAAAAGTGATACGGGATTCCCAAAATCCGTTTGATTATTACAATTCAGACGAATTTAGTTTAGGTTTTCCAATGATGGGGTACTTTTCATACTTTTACCACTGATAAAAGAAGACCTGAGGAAATTAACTACGAGGAGGCTTTCCAGTGCCACCTACATAATGTATCAGTTGCTAGTGGCAAATAAAACATATTTTTTTTAATGAAGTTTTATTTTCATCAATCTTCAATGTCTAATTTAATTTTATGTATTTGTAAATCATAAATCTTTTTTCATGTTTAAACAAATTATTTTCTCTTTCTATCAATATTTTTTCTCTTTGTAGCCCCAACTCGTGCAAAGCCTGGTCTTGTTGTATATTATTCAATGTGGTGCGTTTGATTCTTGTTTCTGTCTTAATCTTCATTCTTGCTACTACTAATCTTAATTTCTTGATACCTGAAAAGCAAATTATGAATTTAATTCCTTTGAGTATATTCTGCTTAGTTATTCCTCATAAATCTACGTACGAATATATTTTACGTATATATTTTAAAAACATTATTTACTAGTGGGTGTTGAGAACGTTTGATTGATTCCTGAGAAAGTTCTTTCATTCTTTGGGTCTTTAAATTATTCCAGCAGCTTTTCAGTTGATGTGTGAGCCTTTGTGAAACATAATAGCGCCCCGTTTCCTATACTCCAACCAATAATAGGCCTTTCTCTTATTAAGCTACAATCAGCAGCTCTCTTTCGGAAGAAGAAAACGGCAGCTTTTTTATCTGAAAAATAATGATTGAAACATGATTTTCACTATTATTATTAATCGAAGTATTCATACTTACCTGATAGTTGTAGTTTTATCCATATTTATTTAATTCACAAATCCACAAAATAACGACACATAAAAACCGTTGCACCCACAGATATGGATTAGAGTAGATACAGCAAGTTGATCGTCAAAGCGTGCCATTCCGATATGTCCAAATGGACATACATGGTCGAGTGATGTTCATGTAATCCGATTACAACAATCGGTTACGATGATTTTACGAGACCAGTAGTACGAACACGGTAGAAAGAAGATATTATTTACGGATTGAGAATTGTAATTAACAGCTCAAGTAGCAAATAATTAATTAGAATAAAGTAGCAGTAGAAGAAGTATAAAGTAGCATTGTTTTTAATACATNTGTAAAAAACGGTCATCCCGTCGCGAAGTACGCCTTTTTCTGACTTGAACCCTCCTCCTAACGACAGAAATGATCAATCTGTACCGTTGGTTACTGCCATGGGTGGTCGATACTGATCAACGACGTCTTACGGCAGCCGATTTGTATGCATGGCCGTTACTTCTCATTTCATCTGCCTTAATGATTTCTGACGGTGCTAAGCTGGGCATAATAAACCCTTATAAGTAACTGAATGCTTACACAACAATATTCTCAGAAAAAAACATCTTTCACGTAAAAGAAATCCAAATTAGCAAAAGCTTCATTCAATTCAAAACACTCAACGAAACTGTTGATGGGGTAATTTAAACAAAATAATTAAAAAAATATACTGTTGGCAATTATTTTTTTCATATTTAGAATTAAATTAAAAAATAATGTCATAATTAGGCATTTTTTTCCTAAAATAATGATGATATTGATGCTTTTTTTTCCGTTCCTCTAAATCTGCCGGTGTGTGTAGTTATTTCATTTTATTAAGAATAATAATTTTAATTATTAATACCAAAAATTATAGTTAAGGCTCAGGGTACCGTATGTGGAACTAAAATAAAAAGTTGATTTTTCAGTAAAATAAGATTTTATTTTTATTTTTATAAGTTTTTCCTATCTTCTCATCACTAATTACAACCATTATATTTTTGTCGCGCACTAAAAAAAAATTGAGCCTTGTAGGGTTAATTCCTGAGAAAGTTCTTTCATTCTTTGGGTCTTTAAATTATTCCAGCAGCTTTTCAGTTGATGTGTGAGCCTTTGTGAAACATAAAATATGGTTCAGAATTGTACGCCACTGTTAGAATTTCCCAGGCCTGCTTCGTCAACTCGATATTTTAGAGAGGATAATAATATGCTTGTCTTCAATAATAGGCCTTTCTCTAATTATGCTACAATCAGCAGATCTCTTTCGGAAGAAGAAAACGGCAGCTTTTTTATCTAAAAAATAATGATTGAAACATGATTTTCACTATTATTATTAATCGAAGTATTCATACTAACCTGATAGTTGTAGTTTTATCCATATTTATTTAATTCACAAATCCTCAAAATAACGACAATTAAAAACCGTTGCACCCACAGATATGGATTAGAGTAGATACAGCAAGTTGATCGTCAAAGCGTGCCATTCCGATATGTCCAAATGGACATACATGGTCGAGTGATGTTCATGTAATCCGATTACAACAATTGGTTACGATGATTTTACGAGAACAGTAGTACGAACACGGTAGAAAGAAGATATTATTTACATATTGAGAATTGTAATTAACAGCACAATTAGCAAATAATTAATTAGAATAAAGTAGCAGTAGAAGAAGTATAAAGTAGCATTGTTTTTAATACATATCCTGCGATGTACTCTTAAGAGTTAAAACCATGGTCCCTGTATGTGGTGCACTCATACCGATCCCAAGGAACCGTACTTACTCATAACAATAAGACACACACTGATCCATGTATTCATGCACTTGACAAATTTATGTCTTGAAACGCTGGTAGGGTAAAAAAAATAACGAGATTTGACGATTTGTAAGAATTACTTTATTTTAAAAAGGTAAATAAAGATGTTTTTGGTTTTGTATTTAACAAATTATCAGTTTTATGGGAATTAATTAATTTTCGAATCGAGTCACACGATATCTTTCGATGACTTTGCGAATGCAGTACGATGATACGATTACTTTTACGTTGCGGCAATCACTAAAATTCGCTAAAATGACACTAATGACGTTTAAAAAGTGGCACGCTCGGCTTCATACAATTTTTGACACATGCTGCATCTATCCATATCTGTGGTTGCACCGTTTGAATGACAGGAATGTCATGTCAGTTAGCGGAGTGAAGTGCGTAACATAAGCGAACCAATCACAGAACTCTATTCAACACTCTGATTTTGCATAGTCAAGGGTCGTATAAGTATTGTTTATGAATTGAAATACTTGTCATATGGAACGCATTGAGAAATGTCTCATTTCGCATAGCGTTGCTGCTTTGCATAGGTAAGTATCGTTTGTGAATACGGGTGTTAGTCAATTCTATGGAATCGAGAGAGAGAAAAGCGTATTTGGTATGTTTATTAATGAAACTTTTTCGAATATTAATATTACTAGAGTGTTATAGCTAGAAGATTAAATAACACGTGATCAAACCACATAATTTTAACTTAAGATGCAATAAGTATATGAATATTAGTATTCTATTCTCACCACTTTTCCTTATTAAATCTACACGCTATACTAAGGCATCGTTTGTGTTATTTAGCACAAAGCTAAAGACAATTCAGATAATGCTCAGTAGAGAAGCTAAGCGGATTATGGAGGAGAATCCCTCGGGACACTTAATTGCAGATGTAAGCCTTAGAAACGAGTTTTATAAGGATTTTTGGGATTTAGTGATGCATTTCAATGATTGTACCAAATGAATCCCAGAACCATAGGGAATTGTGGGCCAAATCCTCCAATAATTGTATGTATTTGGTGCCAAATAACCATTTTTTATTTCTTTCAATAAACTAGGAGAGTCGCGATCCTGCAATGGATACTAAGTAAATTACCTGATGAAGTATCACTGAACCCATAACTTCACCATCATGAAATTAAAAATAAGTTTATTAATGAAATTAGATATGATATAGCTGAAAAAATTAAGAATTAAAACTTTCATGGAATGGACTTGCAAAAGGGGTAGAACGATTTATGTGCCAATTACCACTTACCCTCATTTACTTTCCCTCGGGATAAACTTGATTTTCATTGGTTGGGTTTTTATTGGCATTCAAGCTGTAGATACTAGCTACATAGGAGTTGGAATGGTGGAAACGAGAGGTGGCAAAAGCCCCGGTACTCTGTACTTTACCAAGAAAAAGCATATAATCAATATGGTAGAAATTCCGATAAAATCAACAATTCTAATAAATGCTAAAGATGACAAGTTCATAAGTTTCCATGAAGGTTAAACTGTGGTTTTAGTAAACTCTAGTAACCTTTTGTAAGAGATTCCACAAAGTTTTTAGTGAAATACCATTTTGAACAAATTCTGCGAAGGATTTATGTGATATCAATAGTTTTAGTGATTTGTTCTTGTGAATTCTTATTACGAAAATACCGTGGAACAGTAGGTACGTTTTTTGAGATTATATATTGGAATAAAGTCTCGGATTAAACGGAACATCGTTTTGTTTTTTGAGGTAAAATGTGAGTATAGAATGCTGATCCATATAATAGACGATGCATTCGACATTCCACCAACTTCACTGCAAAAATCGTTTGCTGTTAGGCAAAATGAATAAAAATGTCTATGTTTAACCGAACACCATGACTTTTTCAAGGCCAGCGTGAAGTGCTTTACCGGTATTTGCGATTCGAAATCTCAAATCATCATCATCATCATCATTTCAGCCATAGGACGTCCACAGCTGAACATAGGCCTCCCCCAATAATTTCCACAATTGCCGGTTGGTGGCGGCCTGCACCTAGAGCCTTCTCGCTACCTTTATGAGGTCGTCGCTCCACCTTGTGGGTGGACCTCCTACGCTGCGCTTTCCGGTACGTGGCCTCCACTCCAGAACCTTGCTGCCCCATCGTCCGTTAGTTCTACGTTCTATATGCCCTGCCCATTGCCACTTCAGCTTGCGAATCCGTTGGGCGTACGAACGAAAACAAAGTAATGTCAGCGACTTTAGTTCATTTACGGATCTCCTCATTAATCTCAAAATCTCAAATTATAAACAAAAATATGGGCCTCATAAGAAGGCTCAAGGTCACCCAAAGGGCGATTCGGAGCGATCCGCAGGAGAACCAAAGTAACCGACATAGCTCGCTGAATTGCTAAAATCAAGTGGCAGTGGGCGGGGCACATAGCTCGTAGAGACGATGGCCGTTGGGGCAGGAAAGTTCTCGAGTGGCGACCACGGGCTGGAAGACGTAATGTGGGCAGGCCTCCTACTAGGTGGACCGACGATCTGGTAAAGGTCGCGGGAAGAGCCTGGATGCGGGCAGCGCAGGACCGTTCATTGTGGAAAACCTTGGGGGAGGCCTTTGTCCAGCAGTGGACGTCATTTGGCTGAAAAAAGAAAAAAAGAAAAAAAAAGACTTAAATAATGTTTTCATACTATTTTCACCCGCTATCCCTTGGCCTACGACCGGTAATCCGGGATATCGAAATATCGTGAGATCCGATATTGGACGCCGCCATGCCTGCAATAAGTAGAAGTTTTTTAATTCATGTAAAGTCCTTTTGTTTGGGGTTTGTTGTTGCCGATATTATGGTGCGCAAACAGGTGTAATTTCAGAAGTTTTAAGTTTTGGATTTCCATAACAGACTGTTGGAAAGTTAAACCTTTTTTGTTTTAAAGGATACTTATCTATGTTTCAAGACCTTTATTATAATTTAATGCCCTCGTTGCTTGTCAACAAAGCGATGGATGTATGGATGGCTGTTCACGTGCAGTCAAACGATTATAAAACGTCGTGTGGCAAAAATTGGTACTAATAAACCAGTATTGATAGTGGCACCCTGCTGATAATTTCATAGTTGGAACGGTTCAGTGTTGGACAACTATAAACGGAAAGAATAGTTTGACATTTTATTAAAAGATTATTAGTAACTAGCTTTCCGTCCGCGGCTTCGCGCTCGTGGAATTTTGTCTGTCACAGAAAAACTTTATCGCGCGCGTACCTGTTTC